TATTTCTCACCTCTGGTTTTTCTCTGAGTGTTCGTCTTTTTGTTGTTGTCGGTCTCTTGGGGAGATTAAGCGTTGGAACTCGAACTCTCTTTTTGGTTGGAGAGAGCTGTGGCGTTTCCCTACTGCCCCGTCGCCATCTTGGTCCCCCCTGTAATGTTCATATCTTGGAAAAAATTATATTAAGTGAAGTAAGCCAGACCCAAAGAAAAGCAGATCACATGATCTCCCTCATTTGTAAGACCTAGAATATGTACATAATATTCTTTTATATATATTTTTTTAAAGATACTGTACAGAGCGGTTATAGTTACCTAAGCATGATAATGAGTCCATTTCCTATCAAGCATTGTTACCCTCTCCTTTTTTTTCCCCTACCATCCCTTTCCTCCCCAAGTCCCCCCACCCCCCTTAAGTTGTAAAGTTTGTTTTCAACATAGTGTCTTGTACATCTCGTTGTTATAATGGGTCATCCTCTATCCTTATTTCAGCATTTTGTTATTTTCCTTCCCCTCCCCAAATCAGAAAAATGCATATACAAGATTAAGAACACCAGAATTAAATACAGTGACATCAGGGGTTATACCATGGGGGAAGAACATACAAAAGAAACAATGAATAAATGAATGATATTCTTAACAGGGGATCACAATAAGCCAAGTGCTTAGTGCAAAGGTATATATATAATGAAGCGTATTAATATGAACTACAACTTATGAAAACAAGTGGTTTTCATTAGACCCTTATTTTTTTTTTAACTAAAATGGTGACAGAAGCAGGGCTTATCACAGTTTTCATCTTTCATAGTAGTGTGTATATGTTTTCAGTGTACTCTGGTGAATGCCTACTATTTCTTAGTTCTTAGTACAGAATTATTTTTCATGCATTTTATTTTCAGAACAACAAGGATTAATACAATGCAGAAGTACATTAAGGTCCCATAAGCTTCTGTTAAGATGATTTTGGAAATCTAACAAGAATACTTGCTTTGCTAAAACACCATAAAATTTTGCTACTCTTAAGATTTTTCTTTACCTTTTCAGTCTGCTTTACAAGAACTTGAAGAATTGAAACAAATTGTTCCCAAAGAGTCCCTCGTTTACTTCTTAATAGGAAAGGTAAAGTTGGGGCCTTGCTTCTAGACTGTGATTTTGATAACTACACTAACTTTTGAAAAATAAATCCAATACTTATTGTATAACATCCTAAGCAAATTCAACTAGGCTTTGAACTAAGGGCTCTGAGAATAATACTTAAGAAGATGTTATCTTTATTGAAGGAACAAAAATCCATAACCCAAATCCTAACCTTCCTGTGGTATTCAAAAATGAACATTTGCAGTCTAAGGCCAATAATGAGAGTACCACATCAAAAGCTCTTAAGTTTCAATGCTTAATAAGAAGAACATTAGCTGGATGCTGGTGGCTTATACCTGTGATTTTGGCTACTCAGGAAGCTAAGATAAGAGAATCATAGTTCAAAGCTAGCCTAGGCAGGAAAGTCTGTAAAACTCCTATCTCCAATAAACTACCAAAAAAGCCACAAGTAGAGCTGTAGCAGAAGTGGCAGAGTGCTAACTTTGAGAAAAAGAAGCTCAAGAACAGTGCCCAGGCCCTGAGTTCAAACCCCTGGACCAGCACCAAAAAAGAGAGAACATTATACTGGCATTGTACTTACTGACTGAATTAGAGTGTCAAAGATTACTAAGATCAGTCTAGTCAGGATTTTACAGATTGGGCCTACAGATGCCAGTTGGTTCCAAAGTGTTATGAGCTTTTACAGTCCATTTCTTCACATTGTCAATGTTCCAATCAAAGTGACATTCATTGGAAACTTCCTACCTGAAAAGTAGATGCTAGGAATTCTACTCCCCTCCTCCCACCCCCCAAAACCTGGAGCTTGAACTCAGAGCTGGGGTGATATCCATGAGCTCTTTTGCTATACCACTTTGAGCACAGCTCCATTTCCAGTTTTCTGATTGTTAATTGGAAGTAAGTCTCCAGACTTTCCTGCCTGGGCTGACTTTGAACCATGATCCTCACATCTCAGCCTCCTAAGTAAGTAGGATTACAGTCTTGAGCTACCAGGGCCTGGCAAAGCAAAGGGATTTGGAGAATAAATCTGACTATATTAGAAAAGAACTCAGTCCCCAGTACCAACACACACACACACACACATACACAGAACTCAAAAGCAGTTATGAGTTGGTCTATTGAATGAAAATGTCTTGAAAAATAGAATGGATTTAGAGCTCACAAGTCAGGAGCCTACTTTATATTATAAATGTTTATGTTTTATAGTGGAAGCCCACAACTTAATGAAAAATGTAGTGTTGATGTTTGTTTTTAGGTTTACAAGAAGTTAGGTCAGACACACCTTGCCCTGATGAATTTCTCTTGGGCTATGGATTTAGATCCTAAAGGAGCCAATAACCAGATTAAAGAGGCAATTGATAAGCGCTATCTTCCAGATGATGAGGAGCCAATAACTCAAGAAGAGCAGATCAGTGAGTATCCTACATAGGATTTTTACTATTCAGAAAGCTACCTTTTATGTAAGAATTTGTGGGATACTTTTTTTATTTTTCTAACTGTAGTGTTTTCTTTATACAAATGGAAGTTTAGGAAAAGTAATAGAGTGATATATACTGAAGTGCATATGGAGTCAAGTAATTAGTCTTAGATCTGGATCTAGTTTGCTGTGTGACTTTGACAAATCATTGCTGGTTATTTTACCAGGACCTCAATTTGCATTTATTTTGCATTTGAATATGTAAGTAATACTACCGTAACTACATTAATGGGATGTATTGGGAGTGCTAGTTGTGAAAATACATGGAAAACATGTAAATATTAAGTGAAGGAATAATGAGTTTGTTAAATGTTAAAGTATATTTTAAAGCTTTGTAGTAGTGGCTATTTTGTGGGGGGGGCGGTACTGGGATTTAAACTCAGGACATTGTACTGGCTAATGTGCACTCTATAATTTAGGCTATAACCTCTACCCCTTGTGGCTATTCATATTTAATGTATTCTAAATATGTGCTTTTTGTAACTTAATAAGAATTAGCTGGGCGCTGGAGGCTCACTCCTGTAATCCTAGCTACCCAGGAGGCTGAAATCTGAGGATCAGGTTCAAAGCCAACCCTGGGCAGGAAAGTCCATGAAACTCTTATCTCCAATAAACCACCAGAAAACCGGAAATGGCACTTCAGCTCAAGTGGTAGAGCACTAGCCTTGAGCTGAGGAGCTGAGGGACGGCGCGCAGGCCCAGAGTTCAAACCCCACAACCGACAAAAAAAAAAGAGAGAGAGAGAGAGAGAAGCAAGTGTTGTATATTTTATTTATTTATTTTTGTTTGTTTTTTGAGACCAATTTACCTGTAGCCCAAGCTGACCTCAAATGTAACAGTCCTTTTATCTTGACTTCTCAAATGCTCGGATTACAGGCCCAGCCAAGAATTGGTTTTTGTCAGTTTCTCAGTGTTTGTCCTGGGGCTTGAACTCAGGAGTCTGGGCACTGTCCCTGAGTTTTTTTTTTGATCAAGGTTAACACTGTTAACACTTGAGCCAAGCTTAACTTCCTCCATTTTGATGGTTAATTGGAGATCAGAGTCTTGAAAACTTTCCTGCCCAAGCTGGCTTTAAACTGCAATTCTCAGATCTCAGCTTCCAGAGTTGCTAGGATTATAGGTATGAACAACCAGCACCCAGCAAGAATTTATTTTAATGCAATATATATTCTATCTGTAAGTTAAGTGTATATCTGTATCTTTTTAAAGAAGAGAATTAAAATTTTCTGGTGAGGTAAACTCTACTTAGTTGTTGTTGTTCCAGAAAACTTACTGGAAGGTTTTAATGAAAATTATGAAAGGGGTGACATTGATCAAGATGTATTGTAATCAAAAACTGACGTGTTGAATTGAAACCCCTTTGTACAACTACTTAAAGATAATAATTTTTCAAAAAAAATAAGAGCCAAGGGCTGATGACTCACACCTGTAATCCTAGCTACTCTGGAGGTTGAGATCTGAGGATCGCAGTTCAAAGCCAGCCCATGCAGGGAAGTCCCTGAGACTTTTATCTCCAATTAACTACCAAAACACCAGAAGTGGCACTGTAACTCAAAGGTAGAATTCTAGCCTTGAGCGAAAAAGCTGAGGAACAGTGCCCAGGCCGAGTTCAAACCCCATGACCAACAAAAATTAAATAAAAATAAAAAATAAGCCAAAGCTGACATAGAGTTGTAAACCTGTAATTCTAGATCAGGAGACTAAAATTCAAGGCTGACTTGGGCTCACAAGAAAAGCTTCTAGACTCCATCTTGTCTAGTGGCTGAGCATAGTGTGTGCCTGTCATCCCAGCAAAACAGGAAGCTTGAAGTCCAGGAGATACTGAACATAAAGTGAGACCCTATTTCAGAAATAACAAGCTGGATACTGGTGGCTTACGCCTGAAATCTTAACTGTTCAGAAGTTTGAGATCTGAATCAAGGTTGAAAGCCAACCCAGCAGAAAAATCCTTGAAACTTCATCTCCAGTTAACCAGCAGAAATATGGGCTAAAGATGTGGTAGTTAATTGGAGATAAGAGACTCAGAGATTTTTCTGCCTGGGCCATTTTTGAACCTTGATTCTCAGATGTCAACCTCCTGAGTAGCTAGAATTAACAGGCATGAGTCAACAGCACCCAACTTACTAGGATTTTTGTAATTGTTTATTTAGGGTCTGCTCTCTAAATATGCAGTTTTCCTTACTTGTTTTCATGAACCAACACTATATATTAGTCAGATATCTTACTGTAGAGTTGTTTTGTTTTGTTCTATCTTTTGCCAGTCCTGGGGCTTGAGCTCAGGGCTTGTGCACTGTTCTTGAGCTTCTTTTGGCTCAAGGCTAGCACTCTAGCTCTTGAGCCACAGCTCCTCTTCCAGCCCTTTCTGTTTATGTGGTATTGAGGAATCGAACCCAGGGCTTCATGCATGCAAGGCAAGCACTCTACCACTAAGCCACATTCCCAACCTTTTTTTTTTTTTTTTAACAGTGGGAACAGATGAATCCCAGGAGAGCAGCATGACAGATGCAGATGACACACAACTTCATGCAGCAGAAAGTGATGAATTTTAACTTCTGGAAATCATTTGCAACCAGATGCGTGACTAGTGCTGACATGTTTCTTGTCCCTCCATATACTGAGTCTTCACTCTTGAGCCGGCAGTGTCATCATCTATCACTTATACCATGAGTGTGCCACTTTCATTGGACCCTGACTGTACACAGAATGAAAGGCAGTGCAATATTTAGCTGCTAAAAAGACTGGCTCTTTTACCAGTATGAATGACAATTTTGGGGAGTAGGGTGGGGGACTTTTCTGTTTTTCTTTAATCTCCCTTAGTTGGAAAGCTATCATGGAAGGAAAAGTTATGTTTTATCTTGAAGGAACCATTAGATATGGAAAATAGTGATGAACTAGAATTTCTTGGCCATTTTCCAAAAATTTTTTTATTTGGTTCTGTTCCTGATAAACAAACTGACCTTCATTTCTAGGTTCTTCAAGAATGGTGTTAGCAAGTGCCAGATGGAACAATAAAAGACATTGCCTATAACAGTAACTTGATTGCCAAGGAATGTAAATTACCTTAAAGTTGCAGTGTCTCAAATGTAATGGGCATATTGGGACTTGTATGTAGGAATCAAATATCCCTCCATACAGTGTACACTTATTCTTGGCAAGAATGCTTTAAATGTAACCAAGAATTTTAATTTATTCACCTTGCTTCAAAGTGTTGATCATTGTTGTCATGGTATTGCAAACTTAAAATTTGTCGTTACCATATTGCCTCTTCTCTTTGAGCTCTTTGGGATCACCTTTAACATTCATAGATGAGAGTGGTTCCTTACTGAAAAGCCAAAACAAGGCCCTTAATGACCACTTAAATTCACCATGAGAATCAGTATGAGAACACTATAGAGAGACTTTAAGAGATCATGATAGCAAAAGCCTTAATACAATCAAAATTGTACCATAATCTTGAATCTACATTTGTTCAAGACAGTATCCCTTTGATTTCTAAGTGTATAAGTAGAGTGCTGGAATGTATGGTTATCTTTCTTGAGGTTAATTCCATTCTTTCTAGCTCTCTGCTTCCAATTATTTTCAGCAATGTGAGTCATCAAAACTAATATTGATACTAATTTAATTTAGGATATCAGAAATTTTTAGCCTTGGGGAAAATATTCTTGTAAAGGAGACAAGTTTTCTCCTGAGTTCATCATAAAATAAGGTGATGTTTTGGGAATGGCCACAATTTTAAAGATCTAATTATGCATATGAAATGAGAATTATTGGAATTTCACAGTAACAGATTTAAACAGTCTTAAATTGTGTACCTCCTTTATTGTAATGTATTGAAATTTTTAGAAAAACTTTAGTTAATGTTTTATTAAGTGCCAATGTCAGAATATAGCAAATTTTAGTTTCTTACAAATAACAACAGGCCTACAGTTATTATTTTGGATTATTTGATGGATAAACTTACCTACGTACTGGTTACCTGTATTTGTTAGTCAAGCTGTGAAAATAAGGTGGGTTACAAAAGATGTAAAAAAAAATTTAGCTTGTAGACCTGGTAATTTTCTGTCATTTATTTTTAATCTCATCCAGAAATGGATTAGATAAGTCAAGTCAAAGTCTTGAGTTAAAGTATTAACTGCCAGAGATGCATCTAACAAAATTTCTTACCGAGGTCTATGTATGTGTGCTATCTAAAAAATAATCTATAAGGAAAAATAAACATTGGGAATAAACGAGTGTCATTAAAAATTCCCAAAGGTTAGCACTTAGATTCTAAGAAATATTTCATGTTATCATCCATTAGCTTTGCAATGTTTAATTTTATATTCTTTTATTCTTTAATAGGTAAGTCACAAGCCAGTAATATATATCAGATAAACAGTTTCATAGAAAGCTTCACCCTGAGTTCTGTGTTATATGGCCTACAGAAAGCTGAGTTCAGAACATAATTTGCTGAAGTGTAATTTATCTTTTCGTAGTAGGAATTTATGTCCTGTGCCAGAGAGACTTTCTGGTACTGATTTTGAGACCAATAATAAAAGGATAGTTGTGGAAGGCACACCATGGCAGTAGCTGGCTAAGGGACACTTTCAGCCCACACTTGGCCTGGTTTCATTTTTTCTCATACCTGCTTTTAAAGTCATTTAGGCATTTGAAACTTTATGTCTCACCTAGTAATGTAAGCTTTCTTGCTCTATTTTTTTCTTTCCCTTTTGTTTTTAATTATTACTATTATTATTTGCATGAAATAGTGATCAAACAAACACATTTTTGATTAATCAAAATATTTCAAATTTCAGAAGTTACTTTGAAGGAAATTAAAATATTAAATACCTTGACATCATTTTTTTCTGTTTAAGCTTTTTACACATATGCATATATATATTATATATTTACATACTCATAGAAGTTATAACATTGGACTTTTTTCCCCCCTGGAAATGGTTGTTACTCTGGGATTGTAGAAGGTTGGAATATTTTTTTCAAGAAAACAAATGGTACTCAAAATAATGAAAGGTGATCCCTTCTTTTTCTGTATTTCATTGCTTTAAATTTTTTTATTTTTTCTAAGAACTGCAAGTAACATTTGAACCATGCTGCTGTTGTACCTTAAACACTCAGTGATAACCAGTATTTAGTCTATTAAAAATACTCTTTTTGAAGAAAACAGTTTCAGAGTCTCTGATTAGCCAGATTATAGTATGGATCGTCACTGAGAAATATGACCCGTTTTCTTTGAGAAAACCTGGAAAATGAGTGTGGATGTGATATGTGTGATCTATTTGCATTGAAACAATGTAATTTAGTGTCTTCTTTTTGCCTTTCCTGACTTATTTCAGAAATTGTACAATTTGGGGGGGAGGGATTCTTTTCTGTTACTATATTTGCAATTCATTAAAGAATATGGAAAATCCAAATAAATTACTTTTGAAAGCTATTAATAATCAAGTTGTTAAAACTTTATAAGAGCTGTGCCTTTTGTATCTTTATAGTAATGCACAGCAGAATAATTATTAAAAATTATAGTCTTACATTATTCAAAAGCCTAAGGGCAATGTTTTTCTTAACTTTCTTTTAAACTATACTCTTAAATATACATAGATATATTTTTTTAAAGTTCAAAAAATAGTAATATTTGGAATTCCAAAATAAATATTATGACAAAAAAATCGTGGTAATTTTTAGAATACATTATTTTCAAACTGCAGAACTTCCTTTTAACAGCTGCAACTTTGCAAGTCAACTGTTTATCCTTCAATTATGTGATTTTCTGAAAGCCCTCTAAAAAGCTTTTCATTATAATTTAAATCTTTTAAAAAAATCAAAATCTGGAAGAAGTAAAATATAGAAAGTAATTTTTACTCTAGTTTGAAAGTCTTATTTTCCCCTCTTGTTTTCTTGGAGAAAGTAGAGGGAAGAAGGGTTTTATTCAGACTTAGAGAAGACAGAGGAAACTGATTTTTTTTTTCCAGACAGAGAAAGAACAACAGGGAAATCATGTTGAAGTATGAAACAGGTAGATCAAAGGACACAACTCAAACTTCCTAACTTTCTCTAGGAGACCTACCTGCCATTGCTGTCAGCTGAGAAAAGATAAACATAAATTTAAATAATGACTTGGGATATTGGCTTGAGTAGGTACTAATTTATGGTTCAAGAAAGTTCAATATGAGTTTTAAATGTAAACTTAAATAGGTTTGTTTAATGAAATCTTGTTCTGTGTATTCTATAAGTTGCTTTATGACAACATTTCCCATCAAAATAACGCTAAGGTATTATTCTACTTAGAAAACAAGGCTGAGGCTCATTTATTAAATGGCAGAGTTGGATATTTCTGGCATTAGTGTGTGCTCAAACCTTGTATTTAGTTTTAGACTTCGGGATGTTTTAAATCATACCTTAACATGAACTGTTTTGTTATATTCTCTTTTGTTATATTTTGTTATATTTTCTTTTTCACAAAGGCTTGAACTCAGGACCTCAAAAAAGTGTTCTAGTTAGACCCATACCTTCAACCCTTTTTGCTTTATTTTTCATGTAGAGTATCAAGTGTTTCCAAGGGATCTGCCTCAGAGCCATCAATCATCCTTCTGCTTAGGTCTCTCAGTACCTGGTAACATTTTGCTTGGGCTGGGCCTCAAATTTCAGTTCTTTCCATCGCCACCTCTCAAATAGCTGGTAGGTGTGTACTAGCAACACTCTTGAGTTCTAGTTTTGTTTTTGTCAGTCTGGGGGCTTGAACTCAGGGCTTGGGTGCTGTCCCTGATCTTGTTCATTCAAGTCTAGCACTCTGCCACTGTGAGCCACAGGGCTACTCCTGGTTTTCTGATAGGTAATTGGAGAAGAGTCTCTCAGACTTTCCTGTCCAAGCTGGACTTGAACTTGATACCCAGATCTCAGCCTCCTTGGTCACTAGGATTACAGGCATGAGCCACCAGCACCTGGCTAATTCTAGTATTTTTAAAAGAGTCATACTAGTAGACTATTATCCCAGGTTTTACAAAGAAAACTATTATTAGTCATACATTTACATATTTTGTTGGTCATGGGCCTGAACTCTGGGCCTGGGCATTGTCCCTTAGCTCTTCAGCTCAAGGCCAGCAATCTACCACTTGAGCCACAGCACCACTTTTGGCTTTTTCTGCATATGTGGTGCTGAGAAATCAAACCCAGGGCCTCATGCATGCAAGGCAAGCACTCTACCACTAAGCCACTCTTCCCAGCCCATGTGTAGACTTTCAACAAACCTTTGATCTATATCCTGCTTTCTACTCTGTTTTTGTTTTGAGGGTGGGTTTGTTTTTTGTTTTTTGGGTTTTTTTGTATATTTTGGGGGATTCTATTTAGTTTTGGTTGTACTAGTATTTGAACTTAGGGCCTTCCACTTTCGGGGCAGGTGCTGTATTATTGAGCCATGTCTCCAGCTTTCTTTTTTTCCACACTGTTTTTAAAATAGGGACTGATTTCGTGCCCAAGCACAAATCTGGGCAGGAAACCACAATTCTCCCAGAACAGCTGGGTGGGCATTTGCTATCCCGATTGTACTGGAATCTCAGATTTTTCTCTCCAAGCTTGTCTGGAACTACAAGTCTCCCTGATCTCAGCCTCCTACATACCTGGGATTATAGGTATGTGCTTCTAGTGCCTGATGGTGGTTTGTTTTTTAGGTTTGGTGGTGGTGGTTGTGGGTTTTTTTGTTGTTGTTGGTTTGGGGTTTTTTT